GAATAACTGGAGCCCAAAGAAACGAGGGCAGGATTGCCAAATTATAAAATAAAATTTTATTAAGCTAATCGATTTTTTGTATTAAATAAAAAATATTCTATTAATCAAAATAGCCCTAGTTTCATAAAACCAAATTAGCAATTATATTAATAAAATTTTAAGAAAATACTATAGCTCTTCAAATTTTAGCTATTTATAAATATTTTTAAATCAAATTAAATATTTGATCTTTCAATTTGAATTTGAATTGATTTGAAAATCAATATTTAAATTTGATTTGAAATTAAATATTTGAATCAAATCAAATCAAATCAAATCAAATACAGAACCCTACTATTAATACATCATTCTAGAAGGTTCTGGAGCATCCTGAGGCACCTTATATATTTGTATCACTTGTGTAGCCTTGTTCTGTATACCGTTATATTAAACGAACTAATAATCTAAATATTAAAGTAAATATTGCTTTAAATAGAATTCTGTAAAAAGTGTACTAATAAAATAGGTAATAAACTATTATATAAATATTTAAAATAGATAAAATATACTATAACTATATAAATAAACTAATAAAATAATAAAATATAAAATAAATATATAAAATATATAATAAAATTTAAGAAAATATATAAAAAATGTTAATAAAAATTCTTTAATATTACACTACTTACTCTTTAGAAAATTTTGCTTTGCAAAATTATAAAAATTATAAAAGAATTATTATAGTGCAGATGCTGTAATAATAACCTATCAGCAGAGTTTGCAATCTTTTAGTGGGTATTGAACCTATAGCTGCTGGCTATAGTCACAGATTATTACTACTCTATTACAATCGATAATATATAAAATTTTTTAATTGTTCTATTTTTGATTGTTACAATTACTATATTTAGGGGACATCTAAAGCCGTGTCCAGTCACGTGTTTTTTGTTTTTAATTAAATTTAGGGTAAAGGTTAGTTTGGAGTTAGGGTCAGGGCATGTTTTATAGTAAAATTGTCTTCCTGACATTTTTTATTAATGCACCAAGATGGGTTTAGACTATCGTTTCTTGTATTTTTTGCGATTTTCACTTTTTTTCGCTGTTTTTTGTCTCTTCGGGCTGATCCATGTTGATCAAAATAAACAATTATATTGGCTTTAGGTTACGTGATGGACACGGCTTTAGACGACTCCTATATTTAGATAATAATTGTCAGAGATATAAATTTGTATAATATAGAGTGTAACAATAAGTTTAAACGAAAATATTCTCACAAAAATTTTTCAAAAGTAAAATGGTTGATCTTTAGTATAGGTGGGCATATATACTTATTATATAATTATAATATATATAACATAACTATTTTGAACTAATTTAATTGATAGTTTACTTATAATCAGCACTGTTTTTATAGTAAGAATTAGGGCAATTTTCATATAAGTTTTATAATAGAGTAGAATTTGGTATTATCTTAAAGCAAAATCTTTCTTTTATTAAGTTAATCTTTCTTCAAGCTTTAACAAAAGTTGTAAAGCTCTTTTTTATAGTTCTAATAGTAGTAAGATCATCAAATTTGGCCTAGTAGTTCTTGAAATATTATAACTTTTCTTTCTTCGCACATATAAAACTTCTTTGCAATATTGTAAAAAAGTTTTATATATGCAAAGAAAGAAAAGTTATAATATTTCAAGAATCATCAGGCCAAATTTAATAATTTTATCACCATTAAAATCACAAAAAAGAGCTTTACAACTTTTGTCAAAGTTTGAAGAAAGGTTAACTTAGTAAAAGAAAGACTTTGCTTTAAGCTAATGCCAGATTCTACTCTATTATAAAACTCATATAAAATTTGCCCAATTTTGATTATAGTACTAATATAGCAATAGTGCTGATTTTATCTGAATTAGCAATTAAGTAATTTTATAAATTATTAGAGTTAGAATTAAGGTTAGGGTCTAAATTGGCTCAAATTAGTTAGGTTTTATATATTATAATCTTGTAATAATTTATATATACCTACTTATACTAAAGAAGATTCAATAAAATAATAATAATAATAGTAATGATAATAATAATACTAATAATGTCTATAATAATAATGATAGTTTAAAGAAATCATACTACAATATTATTCTACTACATGCTATCAACAAAGAACTAATGCCCAAAATGCCCTTTATAAAGCAATTAATTTGCTTCAAAATAAAAATCAATGATAAGATAATAATAATAATATAATAATAATAGTAATAATAATAAAATAATAATTTAAGTTAGCACGAAAAGTTAGAATGTTGCGAGCACAAGTAGCAGCATTAGGAAGAGAAGTGGTGGTGTTAAGAAAAGAGGTGGATGAATTAAAGAAGCAGATAGAAGATTTAAAAGAGGCCATAGAGAATACTGAGTTTTGTATTAAAGCGGTTCAGACAAAGAACTAAAAAAGAAACATTTAATATACGAATTTGGTAGTAAAGCAAAGTAGTTTAAGAGCTGAAGTAGAGAATTTGTAAAATTTAATTAAGAACATTCCAGTTTTGAATTAATTTTTCTTCTTTTCTCTTTTCTTTTCTTTTCTTTTCTTTTTTTCTTTTTTCTTTTTTCTTTTTTTTCTTTTTTTTTCTTTTTTTCTTTTTTCTTTTTTTTTCTTTTTTTTTATAAATAAAATTTAATTGTTCAGTTTTTTAATAAGTTTTGTGTTGTTTTGTTATTGTTTATATCTAACTTTATTTATCTTAAATAGCAAAGTTGTCTATAGGGCTCATATTCTCTAGATGCGAAAAGTAATGTCGATTTTATATTCAACTTAACTCAAATTTTAGATAGCAAAGTTGTAGTTAAGACTTATGTTTCTTAAATATAAATTTTCATATCTAACTTATCCAAAGTTGAGTAGCAGAGTTGTCTATAAGGCTCATATTTCTTAGATATAAGATATAATTTTCAAAGTTTGATTGCATTTCTAATAATATTCTTTTGTTTCTCCTAATTCTCATAAAAATAATGAATAAGAAAAGTGAATAGAGCTCCAACCATCGCTCTAAACTGTTCTAGACACTATATTATACTAGGCCTATACAAAAAGTATAAATATAATAAAAATTTTTTTTTTATATTATATTTTTTTTTTATACTATAAATATTTTTTTTATACTATATATATATTTTTTTTTATATTTCTCTTTTTTTTTTTATAATTGAAATGTTAATAACTATAAATAATAAAGAGTAAATAAATAATAATAAATAACAAATGATAAATAGTAAATGATAATGATTTAATAAACTAATTTTTCATAATTTTCTATTTCTAATTCACTAATCATTGATACATTAATAAAACTTGATTTATATAGTTGATGTAGTCCAAATTTTTGATATACTGTGTGGATTTGAGTAGTTTGTTTCCACACTTGACAAGATTTAGTTTCTTTAAAGAAGTGGGTTAAGTGAATTCGTATATATCAAGTTATTTGTTTATTATTTCTATTTTTTTCTTTTAACTATCTTAGATAATAGAAAGCTTCCAATCTTTGGATTTGTTTGTTTTTCTTTTTTCTAAAAGTTTGAACTTTTGTAATTATTTTGTTAAAAATTTGTATATCATCAGAACCATAATAAGGAGAATTCAATTGTACTTAATCCTTTATTTCATGATTTAAATCTCATTTGATTTGTTTGATAAGAAAATTATTATCTTTTCTTATAAGATTTTGGTGATTATTATTTTCTTCTAAAGAGTCTTCTGTTATTTCAATATTTTCTTGAATATTTGGTATATTGATGGGTTCAAATATTTAGAGAATTGTATCCTATTCTTTACTATTGACAAATTCCTCATATAGATTATTATATTTAACCAAATTTTTGTTAGCTTTAAATAATATTGTCAATTAAGCTTGTTGTTTTTATTCCATTTTCATCAATGATAGAAATATTTTAATTAGATATTTCTATAACATTGTTTGTAATATTATTAGTTTTCCAAATTGTTAAGAATTGTTTTAGAGTTTAAACTTCTTCAAGTAGTAGTTGATTAAGAAGATTATTAATAGTTTAAGTTTCTATTGTTTAATTTGAGTAGTTGTTGTATACATCAGGAAAATTTTTAAGTGCTATGCATCGATACATATCTGGGTGATTTAATCGATATATAACGATTATTATCGATTATAATCGACAGAATAAAAAATCGATTAAAATCGATAGTTTAAAAAATTTGATATTTTTAGCAAAACTTTAAAAATAAATATCTTAATAACTAGTAATTCAAATTGACTTAAATTTTTACTAAGGGACCCAATTTTCATACCCCCCAAATTTAATATTTATACTCCCCTGCAGATTTAACTTTTTTTAAAACTTTGAGCGAAGATATCTTAGTAATTATCAAGCCAAATTTAATAAATTTTTTTCTTTGAATTCTATAGATTCATAAAATTCAAATAAAAAAAAGTTTATTGAATTTGGCCCAATAGTTACTGAGATATTCTTGCTCAAAGTTTGAAAAAAAATTAAAATGTCTATCAAAACAAAACTATGCAAAATTTTTTTTAAACTTTGAGTGAAGATATCATGAAAATTATTTTCCAACAAGAATAATTAATAATGCAAAACAACAAAGAAATGTGTAAGAAAATACAAATGCATAAATTTCATAGATTGTTGATGAATATAAAAAAACTTTAAACAAAGATAATAAAAGAAAATTTATATTAAAGACAAAAATAGATTATGTTAAAGAGTTAATAAGAGATTCTCATACTAAAAGTAAAGATGGAAAAACTTTATTAGATGTTCTTTATTATATCTGGGTTTTAGAAAAAGATGACAAATTTTTATTAACCAGATATATAACTAAAAAAATTGAAGAAGCCAAATCTTTAAAAAATAATATTAATAAATATATTTGGGTATTATCAAAAAAAATAAAAACTGAACGAAAAAGATTAGAAAAAGATCCAAACTATAAAAATCCAAAAAACTATCCACAATTATTTACACCAGGAAAACCATCCTTTACAAATCCTTTAGCATTTTCAGAAGAAAAAATTGATAATATTATAAATATCAATCAAATAATGATTCAATATCAAAATTCTTTATTAGATAAATTTGCAATAACACCACAAAATATAAACAAAATACAAGAAGCATTACTTAAAGGAATTAACAAATATAATGACGATAAAGATAAAAAAATATATTTATTCAAAGTTTTTAAATTTTTAATTACAAGAAAAATTAATATTAATAATGATGATAATGAATTAATTAATATATTTAATTTAAATTTTTTTTTTTTAGGATGTGGCGACCTAGTGAAGTTGGCAAGTTGTCGCACTCCCAAGCAGCAGAACAAGAGTTCGAATCCTACTGGCGACGAAATTCAGATTTTACAGAATGTGTAACGGTATACTGTGTAATATCCTGAGGGTGGTAGCACCTGTAACCTTGGTCGTACCAACTTGTACTGGGAGGCTGCGTAACACATAGATTACGCAACCATGTAAAAACCAGGGCTCGGGCCTACGGCACATGGAAGTCTGCTTAGCAAGACCCAAACAAGGAGGTAGTAAAGATCTTCAATGATACTGCGGAAAACCAGAACCAGAAACTGAAGAACCGGACGCAAAACCCTGAGGCAAAAAGGGTCAACCAACCTGACTGCTGGAGTCGCACCGGAGGAAAAGGTCCTATGCTACAGAATTAGGAACTAAGGGAAATAGAACCAGAAGGCGCTTAAAGCCTAGGTACAATGACCTATCCAGGCTAACTGGTTTGATAGTTAGGGAGGGATCGGTGAAAGGACTAGTTTGATGCGGGTATCGGGATTGGAACGAACCTTGTAAGGGCACAGGTACTGAAATTGTGCGGTTTAATAGTTCACCCTGACTGCTAGTGTTGGTTTCGGCCATTGCGGAAGGTATCTGAAGCCTAATCTGGAAATGTGTGGGACATAGAAAGATTAGGGGAGTAAATCTACACCTCCCCTAAGGTAACCCGGTAAGTATGAGAACCCTACTGGGTTATCTATAAAATTAGGGCACAAGTAGTAAGAAGATGTCAATCTGGGTGGTCTTATTGCAGCAGCACGAGGTTATGAGCTAGTGTGATTGGGGTGGTGTTACAGAACAGGATAACCAAGATTGTAATACTAAAATACCTAATAAAAATTCACTAGTTCGCGATATTGTGAAAGGTAAAAAAAAAAAAAAAAAAAAAAAAA